AACTATTTATATCCTACTACTCCTGGCTCTCTACACCTGTCTCCCTGCTTCCCCTCCTTATCTACTATATATCCTTTTTCAGACTTCCCTATTTTGTGTGAAGGTCCGCGGGCGCCGGCTGCCGGTGCCGTACTCGCCACGCGGACCTACTCCCTTCTCACTCGGGGACTTCGTGGGGACGGGTAGAAGGGGACCGGGTAGTTTTATTATTTTTTCCCGCCGCGCCTTCCACCCGCGGCCGCGAACGGGTGCACACGCGGTCGGCGGCATTCGCGGCCGGCGGCCATCTTGGATCTCGCATCTCGCGAGATCCTCGGCGGCCGCCTCTACCTACGGTATAGCGGGTCGGGAATCACCCGACCACCGCTCCACAACTCCATTGCCCCTACAGGTGGCCCCTACTAAGGACCACACTATATAGATTTTTTCATTTTTATATGAGGTAGAAAAGGCTGGATTTTAACCTCCTACTGCCCACTACTCTGGGCACATGTATACTGCATGCAATAAGTTACATACATCTGTATCCTTACAATCACACTATTGTTCTACTTCTATATAATCACAAGAGGCATATTGTTACCAGACCCTTTACAGGGTCATACCATATTGCTGCACCCTCCAAGGGCATATTACATTACAGCCAAGGGCATATTACATTGCAACACCCTTCAAGGGTTACATTATATTACTGTACCTAACGGTGCAAACTGATGTGGGTGTCCTCTGGGTATTTTTTCATGGCACACCACCTGGGGTGACCCCCCAGATATGCATGCAAGGTCACTGACCATTATCTTATGTGGGTGTCCTCTGGTTACCACGGCACACCACCCGGGGTGAACCCCGAGTATATGCACGAGGACCTGCCCTCAACTGACATTTAACCCTGATTGCTACCTAACGTGCAATACAGCTCTGGTGTACAACTGTGGCGAACCCTACCTATACACCACCACTGAGCTCATATCAGGCGGCCTCTGTATTAGGCGACAGCCCATATACAATACGCCTCTAAGCACAATTTTTGCCAACTGGGCGGCCCCCAGTTGTACCAGGAGTCTGTCACTACATGTACTGACTCTCCTCCACCGCTTCCACTGATTTTCATTATCGCCCAACGAGGAAAACACACTACAAATCATGGAAGACACCCAAAATAGTCAGGACTTTCAGGCTATGATTAATGCTGCAGTGGCGGCATCTGTAGAAAAAGCCCTCTTGAAAGCTCTACCCCAAAGTCAGGGCGACATGAGTCCCCCAGAACGGATGGAGGCTTCGGGCTCAGAGATGTCCAAAGTAAAACGACAGCGAAAGACTCTAAGCCCCCCTTCCACCAAGACTAGGGGCAAATCACCCACCAAACGGAGTAAGACCACGGGCCGACTACAGCCCGCACCCCAACCATTTCCATCCTCCGACGAAGAGGACTCCTATGTACCACGCACCTTGGACGTGGTCGACGAGTGGCACGGGGAGGAATCAATTTCCGATGAAGAGGAATGGCAGGACTTACCTCCCACCTCCTCGAGATACGTTAAGGAGACCTTTCTCGACACCACCGACCGAGACAGAGATAGCAACACGGATAAGACCGGAGATGGAGTGTTTATAGATGACCAAGGGAACCCACTCTTCGACCCACGTTCCATCTGACACCCACGGTCTTCCGAGTGGAGCTTACCAGACCACCTGACAAAGTTCATTCACTTCTGGCTACGCAAGCCATTAGAAAAGGAGGTACGAGCACGTCTCCGGGCCGAATGCCCCAGACCCTTGTTACCCGACAAAGTGGCACTTACCCCTGAATTTGACAATACAGTTGTGGTCTTTATGTCACGCTCGGGCCGAGACCCCCGAAAGGGAGTGGAAAAAGGCATGAAGGCGACACAAGATAAGGTGCTGGACCTACTCGGCCCCATTGCGAAAATACTCTACTTCGCAGACCTAGCCCTCAGCCAAGGCTCCCAACTAGACCCTCACATCATACGGGAATGGGCTCAAAGATCGGTGTGCCTTCTGGGCAACGCAAATGCCGCATTGTGCACCGAAAGACGCAGATCGGCACTCATCCGCATTGATAGTAAGCTCCTGGACCTCGGGGCGAAAGAATTCGGACCGAAAGCCCAAGGACAGCTGTTTGGCGACGCCTTTATCACGGAACTCAAAAAGCACGTGAACCTTTTCACCACTTTGAATAAGGCCCAAACCTCACTCAAACAAGTTTTCATACCCCGACTACAAGGGGTGTTTTTGGAAGGGCTGGTCGGCAGCGGAACCGAGCCACCAGCCGTTTTTGGACCTCCGGTTCCAGATCACTCCCACAGACCCAAAGTTTCTTCCCATATACGACGCAAAGGCCCTCTTCGTTCCGAAGGACGGGGAGGTCTAGAGGATTCAGAGGTCGGGGACGCGGCCGTTTCTCCAATGGTGAGTCCCCCTACATACCAAAATGTCTCACACTTTATAGCAGGCAGCCTGTCCCTTTTCTTTCAGAACTGGGAGCTGATTACCAAAGACGCCTGGGTCCTACAGACAGTACGAGGCTTCGTCATAGATTTCTTCACAAAACCCATACAACCCAACCCCCCTCCTCCGATTCACTTGTCAAAGGGACAAGAACTCTTGGTGGACGAGGAGATCCACACACTCTTCAGGAAAGGCGCGATACAATACGCACCAGAAGGGGGAGGCTTTATAAGCAACATCTTCCTGGTCAAAAAGAAAACAGGCGACTACAGACCGGTGATCAACCTCCGACAATTGAACTCGTTTGTGGTATACAGGCATTTCAAGATGGAAGGAATCCACCTTCTACAAGACCTCCTCATCAAGAACGACTGGTTTACACGCCTGGATCTAAAGGACGCGTACCTGTCCGTTCCAGTGAGCGTTCACTGCCGATGTTTCCTCCGCTTCCTATGGAGAGGACGGATATGCCAGTTCACATGTCTGCCATTCGGCCTCAGCTCAGCCCCGTGGTGCTTCACGAAGCTCCTGAGACCGGTGATGGCGCACATACGAACCCGCGGCATAAGATGTCTCGTATACCTGGACGATTTGCTAATTTTCTGCGAATCAGCCTCCAGACTACGATTGCAGACAAAGTTTGTCGTTCACTTGCTGGAATCTTTGGGTTTCGTAGTGAACAGACAAAAATCGTCTCTCTCTCCTTCCCAGTCGGTTCAGTTCCTCGGTTTCGATATCGAATCGAAGGACTGCGTACTACGCCTCGCCTCGACAAAGATAGCATCGATAAGGAAGGAAATCAGACGGGTTCTGAGGATGGACACGATACCACTCAGGATGCTCGCTCGGATCGTGGGACTCCTTTCCTCCTCCATACAGGCGATTTTCCCAGGCCCGCTCCACTACAGGGCCATGCAACGGCTGAAGGCGGCATACCTCCGCACTGGGCACTCGTACGACCAATGGATCCCACTGTCGACGGAAGTGAGGACAGAACTTCGATGGTGGTTACTACACATGCAAGCCTGGAATGGAAAGGCTATCTTCGGCTCCTCCCCGGACTTCATCGTGGAATCGGACGCCAGCCTATGGGGATGGGGAGCTCACTGCGCGGACGCCTCCACGGGAGGCCCATGGCAAGAGGAGGAGACCAACCTACACATCAACTGCCTGGAACTGATTGCAGGATCCTTCGCCATCCGCAGCCTGGCCAAGGACAAATCGAATTGCTGTATTCTGCTCCGCATGGACAACATTTCGGCGGTACAGTACATCAACCGCCTAGGCGGAGCGAGATCTCGAGCACTGACAGAGGCCACGAAGGACATCTACAGCTTCTGCCTGCGTCGGAACATCACGCTACATGCGGAATACCTACCAGGAATCGCCAACCTGACGGCGGATTGGTTCTCACGCCACTGGCGAGACACCAGCGACTGGAAACTCAACAGGGAGATATTCCAAGAATTACGGCGAGGGACCCGCTAACAATAGACTTGTTCGCCTCCAGGACCAACCACCAACTGCCGAGATACTACAGTTGGCTCCCAGATCCGAAGAGCGAAGCGGCAGACGCATTCCTGCAAGACTGGCCCATCCTAGGGGCTTACGCCTTCCCACCATTCTCCATGATACCACGGGTACTGCGATACACACGCACCCGCAAACTATCGCTTCTACTGATAACCCCGCTTTGGCAGAGTCAACCGTGGTTCCCAGACCTCCTGGAAATGTCCCACGGACACCCCCGGCTACTCCCTGCCTTCCCACGACTTCTGACGGGACCTCGAGGAGAACCACACCCCCTCGTCCTGGAAGGGCAACTAGAACTAGTGGCTTGGACGATTTCAGGGGCTCCTGGTCAGTCCACGGCCTATCACAATCGACTAAGGACCTCCTATGGGACTCTTGGGCTCCAGGCACCAGGAAATGCTATATGTCCGCATGGGCGGCTTGGAGTAAGTGGTGTGTGGAACGGGACTCCGATCCCTTTAATGCCCCTATCCCACTGATCCTTAACTACCTAGCTCATCTGTTCTCGTTGGGACGATCGTATCGATCCCTCAACGTGATCAGATCAACCATATCGGCGGCACACGTCCCGATACAAGGCAGACCAGTGGGTCAGGACCCACTGATATGCCGACTTCTACGGGGCGCTAAACTAACGAGACCACCGGCACCCAAATATTCTAACCTCTGGCAGGTAGACGTGGTGCTGGATTTTCTTAGAACATGGCCAGATAATCCCTATCTGTCACTGAAACAACTTTCAGCTAAACTGACCCTCTTACTATGTCTCGTCTCGTTCCGGCGAGTGTCAGACGTTAGAGCATTCGACGTGGACGGGTTCTCCATCACTCCAGAAGGAGTTATTTTTTCCATATCAAGACGGACCAAATCGGATTCCACCTCGATATCGTACCCGTACTTTGGCTCAGATCCCCAACTATGCGTTGTCAGGACGCTTATGAGATATACGGAAACCACAGCTCCCCTTCGAACCAGTTCGACGGGTCAACTGTTGATTTCCTATGTGAAGCCTCATGGACCGGTGTCCACGACTACACTGGCTAGATGGGTCCGCTGGCTACTATCGTTAGCAGGCGTTGAACCTCACTTTGGCGCACATTCGGTCAGAGGGGCGGCAGCCTCCCAAACCTTAACGGCGGGCGCCTCGCTAATCGACATCATGCGCTGCGCAGACTGGTCACGGGAAAGTACTTTCAGGACTTTCTATTTCCGTCAAACAACTCATGCTTCCTTCACACTCATCAATTCCAAGCTTTAAAAATGCAAATATGAAGCCTCCTGTCATGTGGTAAAATTGAAGATTATACTAGCTTTAGTGTACTAATAAT